CGTTCATATAAGTTTGCATTAAATGAACAAAACTTTTTTTTCCCATACAAACTTATTTATTTACATATATACATTATTTTCATATCTCAGTCAGACAGAGGTGCCTGGTATAAGAGATTGTGAAAAACAGTTTTCATATAACATATACATTTCATTTGACTATAATATCTATTTCATTAATATAATATCTAATATAATATAATATAATACTAATATACTAATAACTAATACAATATAATATTTTTTATCTATGTATATAACTCTTCAGTCTTCTTTGTCTTCAATTTCCTTATAGTATTTCTTTATTTTTCTTTTAAAATTATCATCATCATTGGTCATCTTAATATCGTTTGGCAATTCGTTATATATTGCAAAGTTATAAAATTACTTTTATTTCAAGTACAAAAGTGAACTTTGGAGTTTCAGCTAGAATTAAAATTAAAATACGAATTATTTTCGCTATTCAAAAAAAAATTTTTGTAAGGGGGCGTCCATTAATCACCTCAGGTTTTTAGGGAAAGAGGGGTTTTGACAAAAAACCACGAAATATTACGTGGGGAAAGGAGGGTTATAGTAAGATATCATGTGTATTTATTTTTTAAATGATTTTTTAAAAAAAGAAATTAAGAAAAATTTTACAGTTTCATCACGTAACTAGAAATACACTTGATGTTTGGTGGGAAAGGGGGGGTAATTTTGAATATTCATGTCTCACCAAGGGGGAGGAATAGTCCAAAAATCCTTAAAAACCTCGCCCAAGTGATTAATGGAGGAAGAGGGATATTAAGATATCATGTGTATTTATTATTTACCTATTTTTTTTAAATCAAACATTTTCAGAAAGAATTAAAAAATGTTACAGTTTTATCACGTACCTAAAAATACACGTAATGTTTGGCGGGGAAGGAGGGATAATTTTGAATATCAACCATCATCATGCATGTATCACCAAAGAGGAGGGGGGTCCAGAAATCTTCAAAAATTCACTCACGTGATTAATGGACGCCCCCTAAGTGATAAAAAATGAATTAAAATATTTTTTTGAATGATTCAACTCGGGTGCTTTGTTCTCTCAAATATTGTCATTTTTGCACATTTAGCTTCGTATGTCCGAAATGGCTTGTTTATATATGGCTGGACCTGTCCTTGCCAAAAACTAGCACGTCTCCCCATCAGTAGTAATCAAATGTTTTTTAAATTATTCACACATACACACACACCAATTTTTTCTAAGGTGCTAAAATGTTCAGAAACATTCAAAACGTGAAGATATGCATTATATACATGATGGCAGTATGTGGCAGTATGTTTTTAATAGCTCTTTTCATATTTATATTAATTAATTAAAATAAATAAATATATATATATATATATATATTATATATATATATTGATAGTATAATGCATAGATAAAAGAAGAGTATAATGGTATAATGATATTCCTAGAATAGGTGTATACAATTTGCAAATTGTTCGAATCTTTATATAAAAATCAATATATGTATTTAAGACAAATAAAGCAAAAAAAATTGAAGATATGCAAAATTTTTCAATTTTGATTTTGGACAACTACTACACTTCATTTTCATTTTATCGATTAATATTATCTATAATTTGTGTTTATCTTGCGCTTCACTGGAATATCTTGTCATCTCAAAACATTGCGTAATTTGACAGCTGCCTAACAACGTGTTCTGTACTTATTGGCAATTCGAGTAAATTCGTTAAAACTTTCATAAAAATACTTATCTGAATAAATCTATAAATACAATTTGCTAAGTAATTAAAATGTGCGCAGTAATACCCCAATTTGCAAAAGGCTTCCGAGAAGATGCCACAAGAATTATTTACAATTTTAGGAGTGCTCCTGAGAGCACTTTTAAATGTTTTTCCGATATATGGAAAGAGATGAAATTTGCGCAAATATTTGTGTGAGATATTGGACCATATGTATTACGCAATTCGATTGCAATTAATAAAATAAATAATTTATTACGTTTTTAGTGGGCGCAATAATGCAGCAGAGGTTATGGAGATTTCAGAGGAATTTATGGATGTTGCTAAATATTTTATTTTATGTGTAAAAGATGCAAAAGTTAAAATAGGAGGTTTATTTTTACTGTAATTTTTTTAACCTTTTATGAGTATTAACTATGAATTTGATGAGGTCTACATCTTATAATATTACTTCGAAATGCTCATCAAAAAATTTAAATATTGAGACCCAATTCAGACTTGCTCTTTTATTTGGAGCTAATGAATAATAAGAGAATTTTCCAAATGTATTGCATAGCATCAAGTTAATTTCTTTCTTTCATTATTAGTAAATGTAAAAACATTCGTAATTCGTTAATTAAGACAAGAGTATTAAATACTAAAAATGAAGAATATTTTAAATTTAAGATTGAGATCTAAAATTCTATATATATATTACTGGATTAGAGGAATTTCAATTTCAGCTATATTTTCTATTTTTATGATTATTGATATGATACATTATTTCAGATATTCCCTTTACTATAGCCAGCCCTTTGTAGAATTTGCAAAAATTAGACTTGTGCGAGAGGAATGGATGCATTTGAAAGGATGGTGGTTAACACTAAACAGAACTATAGATGATGAACCAATATATATGTTTCTAAAGTTATATTATGATAATGCTTTCAAATTTGTATTTGACAGTCACTGTTATGGTTTAGAAAAAAGTTTTTATAAATATTTTAAAGGTATTGGTCAATGACATGTTACCACTTGATAATTTTATCGATATTAAATTTAAACTTAATTTGCAGAACTACCACATACTCTAATGATACCACATCATATAATGTTTGAATCATATTCTATTAAACCCCAAGAGCGAGTTGAACTGAATGAAATATCTGAAATAATTTCTTCATTCAGAGAAGACTATAAAATGCGTAGAGAACAACTAAAATGTATGAAAGTTAAAAACGTTGTACACATATAATATGATATAATATATACATATGTGTATATATATATATATATATATATATATATATATATATATATATATATATATATATGGATGAATATTTTAGTTCCAACAAAATTGGAGGATTCTGATATATCTGCTGTGCTGCATAATTGTTTTGACGAGGGTCCTAAAACTCCTTTGAAACAAATTACTAGTAAAGAAGAAGAGTCTGGATGTGGTATGTAAATGGTGCATAAATAATAAAAAATGTAGTACAAGTTTTAAGCTACCATTACAAACAGTATTGTCTTTTAAGTACTCGAAAATGTGGTTTATCTAAACAAAACCAAAAATATATTTTATATATATTCACAAAATTTTATTTGGTGATATTTTTCTTTCTCAAAGCTTAAGCTTTATTATGGCTTGAGTAGCCTGAGTAATTTTAATTATAAATATAAATATTTATGTATTTGAAATGAAGTCAATATAAATCATTTTTTCTCAATGACTTCATAGAACCTTATCATAAAATGAACTTTTAATTTTATCAATTTATTAAATATTTTGTTGATCAATTAACTCTTATTCCCTGAAGTTAAATTGCATTCTTAAATTATTTATTCAGAGACTGATGCTAATGAAGGATTGGGTTCAAAACGAAAAGCTCTCAAAGAGAAGGCTTTTGGAGTAGAATCTACTGGTCGCTATTTGCAAAACTTTGCTGCAAATACATCAAGTTTTTCCACGAATTATTCAAGTGAATGTGATATGTCTGAGCAAGACACAGACGAAGAATAAATATAAAATAGAATTTAAGTTATTATTTATTAATAAATATTTTTTTACATTCTCAGATCTTTGATTTATGATGTAATATGATTTTTTGGAATGATATACTAAATAAGAGAAGAATAAATTACTCTTAAAATTAATTCTTATCGTATACTTCAGAACATAAATACTTAATATTAACAATACTGTTTAAACTACAATGTGTCATTGTATAAACCTGTAAGCTATTTCTTTTTATATCACAATTAATGCTTTTAAATATTCTTACTTATACAACATAAGTACATCTGGATCAGCCTCAATAATGTCTTCTATTTGCGGAAGAGACATTCCAATACTGCAGCATAGTTCATCAATGGATAATTGACCAGTAAACAATCTTTGCATATTAACTGGAGGGTCACCTCCAGTGTAAATGGGGTACTAAAAAATATAATAACAATATAGCAAGATTGACCAGTTTACACATTGAATTTCTGAAAGTTTCTGATATGAACTATAATTAAGACGTATAAGTATTAATTGAAGTGTATCTCATAGCAATATTTTACCTTATGAACACATTTGATTAAATTATGTTGCAAGCCAAATACAACCAAACGCCTAAAAATAAAAATAGTACATGTCAGTTTTACTAATATGATTTTTTCTTAAAGAATTAAATAATATTTTGCAAACTAGCGCTATAATCAATTTTAAGGATTAAATTAAAACTATAATAAGTTCTTGCAGATAATGCTCTTCTGTAATGTTAACTTGTTTATAATAAGGTAAGATATAATAATATGTTTCTTGCATCTCAATAATTATCATCCATAGTTTATAATTTTATTTTTACTTCATTATTTTCTTATGATCAAAGACTTAGTAATGGCCAAAGTGCATGGCAAATGCAAAATGGCAAAGTGTTATACATGTATAACTTATTAATATTGGTTTTAAATAATTTAACATGAAAAAGTGTCATTAAAAATATCATTCCAATAAAAATGTTAAATTTCAATATTAAACATCCATAATTATTAATTGTGCAAAAGTTAATTTCATCAATAATTAATTACCTTTCATCAATATTATATTTATGTGGACTGAATCGCACACATAGAGATTTTAATGTTGTACCATTACCCATTGCACTATAAAATTCCAATATTTTGTTTAAAGAAGGTTGTAACCCTGTAGGTCTTAATGATATATAGTCTCTACATTTCTTCTGCAATTTTTCCTGAGACCAAATTGATCGGAATCCAGCCGAAACCATATACACATTACTATATTTCAATATTGGCAGTAATTTAACCTAAACAGAAATAGAGTTTTATGCTATATTAATACAAGTTCTTAAATATAAAATAAATTAAATCTTAAAAACATATTTGAATAAAAAATATCTACAAAAAACTGTACTTTCATGAGATTGAATATTTAAAGATATTTGCACTATGTTTATTAAAAATATTTCTTCTTCTTCGTCAAAGATCTTATAAATATAATTACTCACAACACCATAGTAGACCAGATTTTGAATACAGGCTTTAACTAAATTAGTTTCCACATCACTTTGGTATGCTATTCGTGCTATATGATTAAAACCATCAATAAATGGAATCACCTACAAAACAAGTAGTATTTATTCAAGAATTCTTTAAAACGCATTTCATTTGTTATGAAATACTTGTTGAGTAGTTAAATCCCAGTCATCAAGTTTTGCCAAATATTCTTCTACAAAAACAGGAACTACATGATCTTTGACAATGGGTGGGTCTGTGGCAGCTTGAACAATTTTTAGGTAAATTGTGGTCTCTCCTTCTATAAATATTATAGCATTTTAACAATATCAGAAACACATAAGTTTAATTTTTAATATAGTTGTTGTAAATTTTGGCACTGCACATGGTGCACTTATTGGGGATTAAGTATTTTGTTCAATATACATAAAAAATTAATTTTATAGTTTTAGCTTTACCAACAACAGTGCATTGACGATACGTATTTAGGTCATTCAGTACTCTGTCCAGTAAGCCAAAATAGCGTGTCGTATCCCCATCTGATAAAAACCCAGATTCTTCCTCCATGGACGCCTGAAAAAAAAAAATAGAATTTAAATATAGAGAAATTTACATATTATTTGAAGCAAATAACAAATATAATAATATAATCATTTAGTTTGATTACTTACGAAATATTCTGCTAATTTTTTTACCACTGGTTCATATTGTACTGACTTAGCCCACGAATCACATACAAAACATAAATTAAAATATAAGGCATTTCTGGCATATTTTTGGCTATCTATACGTAAAGGAAACCCCACAATTTTGTAGCCCAGAACATTACTGAAATAATTTTATATTATCAACATATTTTTACACAAAAAATACAGTTTAATTTCTATTATAAGTAAAATTTATAATTTTCTAAAAAGCTATTGATATTCATAATTTTCTTTGAATAGTTTATTAGTTTTTAGTAGTATCAAAATGAATAAGGATCAATCTGATTATCAAAATTGAAATATATTTTATATAATATTATCTGTTAATCAAACATGTATATTCAAGATCGAATGATAGTTGTGATAAAAACGTCGATGGATCTTACGGTTTTCATGGGATTTAGATGACCCAACATAGTTTTATTGACTTAAAGTACAATTGAATAATAAATAAATAATATAGTAAATTAAATTCATCTCACACTGTAAGAATGCATCTCTGCAACTGAGGTTTTGGAATAATGTAAACGCTGACAGCATCAAAAATTTCTTTGGATATATAGTCATCAGGTACCTGATGTATAAAAACATTGAGGTTATGAAATTGTGCAAATTGGCAAATATTTTTTATTAAATTTACCTGGCATTTTATTTTTGGGCCTAATTTCGGATGAAACTCACACAAAAATATACATCTTATGGGGCCTTCATGTCCACAGCCCTCAAAATATTGAGCGGCAGGGGTTGTAGATGTGTCCATTGTCATTATTCATAGTACTCCAATGATCATTATATTCTTTATATTTATGTACATGACTAATAATTATTTCTATGTATACGTGACTCATTACAACTCAATAAATCATTATTTATTTTACGCCTAGAATAACTTTTTGAAATAATTTTTATTCAGCTTGTCAAACGTCATTCAAGACAGATCGAAATAGGATTTATTAGCTCCTTAAGCAAACAACCAGCTCGAGCTCGTCCATAGTTTTGGCGCGTGTTGTAACGTCAATAGACCTGTCATCAATTCTCATTGATGTTCAAAAATAACGTTGAATAGAAATGCCATTCATAAATTTATGTTTATCTCGACTAAATTGTAAAAGTGTTAAATTGAAATGTGTATGCACTCTTCGCTTAAGTGAGTTTTTTATTAACAAAAACAATTAAAGTGTTTAGCGCCTACTTTAAAGAAGATACGTAATTACGTATCCATAATCTAAATGAGGTAAGGACCTATGCTTATTTATCTATGACTAAAGCCATATTTGTTAAATTTTTATATACCTTTTCAATATTTCAATTCGAGTAAAGAAACGCCACCTTCCTTACATATAAGGTTTTGCATTGGTGACCATCGTCCCGGTTTGGCCGCATCTCCATCTTGTGTCCCGGGTTGTTTTAAAAGCAATTTTTGTCCCGGTAATAATTAATAGGTAAATTTAAGGGGGTATTCTAGTGTAGAAATTCGAAAAAATCGATTTTTCATTTAATATTTTTAAAGTTTAACTATCTACCCAGTAAACCACAAACGTCACATAAAGTTAAAGTAACGTAGCACAGAAGAAACGTTGTTATGTATTTTATGGTTACGTTAATAAAACGTAAATGTTACGTTTAATTGTAACCTTTAAACGTTAATGCATGGTTTTCTTCATAACGTAACCGTTCAGTTACAGTGTTTTGTAAGTTTAACATACAAAATGGACGGTGTGGTACAGCTGTTTCACAAAACTGTCAAAAAGATAGGTTACGTGTTCTACTCTTTTATGTATGCGAGACTCTATGCACGAAAATACAATTGAAAGTTATTCGTGACTCTATATATTTTACTTTTCTGTCTATGACTAATGACTAATGGACGCTTCATATTGAAGATCTTTTGACAAGCAAATTATTTCATTCTTTTGAAGCATTTATTTAATCATTATTTATATGATTAATGTTTTATATGATTAATGTAGAACGTATTAGTTATGCAGTGTGCAGTTAAAATGTTTAAAATGGAGTCGATCAAGGTAAGTATAAATATAAAACATGTGTAAATTATTTTAATTTATATATTATTATAATAATGATTTTTTTTTTTCAGTATATAGTTGGACCTTAATGGAAATTCTATTCGCGTATTTTGTTATTTGTAGATGTTTTCATCAAATGTATGTTTATCAAATAATAATTAAATTCTATTATACAAATCATAACCTCAATGATTATTGCAGTGTTGAGTCAAAAGGTTAGTAAAAATGAGATATACAGATACAAATTTAATATTTGTAGCCCCTTCAGTAACAATAATATAGTTCGGCTAAACAGGAGCAAAAACTAATACAATGGTTTTCAATTGAAGAAATATAATGACTCAGAACATAATAAAGATATGAATAAAGAGCTCAAATAAAGAATATGAATGCAAAGTTAGAATATAAAATAATAATCTACCATCATCACGAAAAAATGATTTGAAGAAGAATAAAATTTTTTACAGCATTAAATGATGACACTCGTGTCATGTGTCATGGAATTGGTATACCTCATTATGATAGAGATGATTAGATGATTTAGTATTAATTTCTTATGATTTAGTTTTAGCAAAAATATGATTTAAAAGTCGGTGGATGAAATTTGGCTGAACTGACAAGAAACAATTAAGACAATATTTGAGCAATACGTTCATAAAGGAATTAGCTGCACTTTGTTCTTAATAAATAATGAAAGTAAGTAGAGGTAATTAGAAGTATTGTTACAATTTATAATAATAATCACAATATTTCCAAATCATAACCTTCTATTGTTTTTACTTCAGCAAAAATATATTTAAAAATTCAGAGACTAAA